AATGAAGCAGTGGCTTAGGCAACTGCAAAAGCCAGTATTGGCTGTAGGAAGGTAGGCAACATATTTTGGGATACTGCTCCTATGCTGAGTAACACGCGTTCATTAAAACAGTTATTATACACAATTCCTCGAAGCGACTACGGATGGCTGCTTGTGGCACCTCGCCCCCTTATTCCACCTCTCACCTATCGTGCCACGGCATACTTCATCCACAGGGGGTCCTGCAGCAGGCGTTCCAAGCATCTCTCCTCCACTCCTACCAACACCTCCATCCCCCCCTCTGGTGGCGCCGGCAACACGAGTTGCAGACCGTTGATGATACCAATATGAGGGGTTCGCACCGCGCCGATATGGTGGCCCATCAGGGGACCCCATTCCAGTCCATATAACTGGAAGTTGATCCAGGAGGTCTGTACGCAGTTGAACCCAGGGACATCCAGGAATGCCGTGGGCACCAGGCAGTCCACATCCTCCAACTGCTCTACGAGTGCGACCAGGTCATCCGTGAACTGCCGGCCGGCGCGGAGTACTTCTTTACGGATCAGGATGGCTAGATCTGCAAGGCTAGTGGAGCCCAGAATGGTGCGAATCGGGAGGGAAACCCCGAGATACTCCAGAAAGCATCCCAGAGTCTCGGGGTGCACAGGCGGATCGGTCCGTAGGCGCCCGTCGATCGCGAGATTGAAAACGGATACGGGATCACCCTGCAGAGTATCCAGGGGCCACTGCACAGCCATCACCGTCCTCCAGAGCAGCGCCGATAGGGCGTCATTGGTGGAAATCCAAGTTTGGTCTGAGGTCATGGTCGCATGAGCGGGAGACGCTGCCTCCTTCAGTGCCGTCAGCGCTGCAGGGGAGAAATAGAAGACTTGAGTGCGATGGTTCTGGGCCAGCATCTTGGGAGGTGCTCCGGCCGGCGCAGATGGGAGCAATGTGTACTGCGGATGACTGCCCAGTGAGCCAGGATTACGTCCAGATGCACGCATTGCGCATTCACGATCTTTAAAAGTCGCCTCTGGGAGCTCGATGGGTTCAGGAATGGCCATGCCCTGAGCGCGACGACACTCCTCAGCCCAAACCTTCATCCACACCTGGTATGTCGTGCCGTCACCAACCACATGCAGCACACACCAATTCAATAGCAGGCCACCGGGGATGAAGTTGGCCTGCAAAAGAGATACTGGCAATCGCTCTCCCGGAGTGGGCCATACAGAGCGGCGGCATAGCACGTCGGCATCAAAGAAAGCCACCGGGAACGCCCTGGCCTGAAGCTTAGCGTAGGTGGTCGGAAATTTGCCGGGCGCACGCAGATCTCGGGTCACTATCGGCTCGATGTAACCCTCGAGGAGGCGTTGGAGGCGAAGGACACCTCGTTGTGTTGTGCGATGGTCTGGCACTGCCTCGCACGCCATAACCGGTAGCCGGCGAGTGGTGGCCGCATAGCTCACCCGGAGAATCTCGACCACCTGCTCGAGATCATAGTCATCCCCAAGTGGAAAGGGAAATATGTACCGCACATAGCCCTTGGGACCGATACGTTCTAACGCCGTGAGGCTCGGGATGTCGCTCGCTTCAGCTATCGAACCCATTGCAACGCATGAAATGATGCCTCCAAAAGTATGTCGTATGGAAAAGAGGGTCAGAATCCCGACATGCAAGCCAGGTACAGGCACATCATCCTCAAATTAATACCTTTCTCTTGAGCAGAACCCCGCAGACGGTTCATGAACGGGAGAAGCAGCGACGGCACTAAAATGCATCCTGTTGCGACGACATCAGGCCAGGCTTCCCAATGCGTCAACTGACAGGAGAACGCGATATCCAGTCGAGAATATGATTGGCCGTGAGGCTGGCTTGCGTTATCTATCACTGGCGAAGACTTGGATTCTTGGCTTAACAGCCGTTTGATCCGACGGGGAGCAGCGGAAGAATTGTGATCGTCGAAACGATCCCTGTAAGCTGTCAGCACTAACGCAAGGCTAATATGCTAAAAGTGACACCGTCGTTCACCCCGATGTGCCAACCCTTGACTATAGTGTTAAGTTGAAAGGAATCCCCTGCTAGCTTCTTGAGTGCTAGGAAAAAGGAGCAAATAGAGTCTCCCGACCGACCCGACCGATGGCCGTCTAATATAGTCCACGGCAAAATGATAACCCCTTAAATATTTCCTCGATGCACCCAACATCAACTTAGCCGCAACATAGGAGCTGATAAGGGGCAAAGTATTGCCGTAGCTCATCTTGTTAGTCCAGAAATGCACATGAGGGACTTGGATCCAACTACAGTGGCCATCTTCGGTCAACCTCCTGCCCTCATCGATCTAGCTGATAGTCAAGTACGTCGAGACAATGCAGCCGTGATTGTTCTGTTGGTTCTCAGCATAATTGCAGTGTGTCTCCGGTTCATCGCGAGACTGGCCGTGCGGAATCCTTTTCGACTGGACGACTGGTTGATTCTGGCGTCCCTGGTGGGTGAACAAGATGAGTCGATCAGCAATGGGTCTTCAAGTGCTAACATCCACATCGCTACTTACCAGGTTTTTGTCGCAGCCACAGCAGGTCTAAGTCTAGCAGGTACAGCGCGAGATGCTTCCTATTCCCCCAGATACATCGGCTTCTAAGCACTTGTCAAAATTTTAGGCGGCGCATTTGGCGCTGGAAAACATGTATGGGCAGTATCTCTGGCCGATGTGTCGACTATCTTCAAGGTAAGATTGTGCGAAACCTTCAGGATATTATGTGGTAGCTTACCAGGCAGATCCTGTTCACATACACTTTTATGTATGCTGCCGGATGTTCAGCATATAAACTCTCGATCCTTTTCTTCTATCGCCGGATCTTTGTGGGTGTTCACCAGCCCCTCTCCCTCCGAATCTCCGTTTGGCTTGGATTTATGCTCGCGCTCTCATACCCTGTTACTGTCTGGGTGGCCATGGGAAACTGCTGCAAACCGCTGTCGTATTTCTGGAATCAGTTCCAAGGTGCGTCGGGAACGTGCATTGACACTGACACATTCTTTCTCGCGACCGGAATCATCAATATGGTCAACGACTTCATAATTCTTATTATTCCCTTTCCACAAATCGCAATGCTCCAAATGAACCGCGGGAAGAAGATTGCTGTTTGCCTAATTCTTGCGTTGGGTAGCTTGTGAGTGTGCCGTACTCCCAGTTAGGAACACCCCTAACGTACCTTGCAGCGTTTGCGTAGCCAGTGCCGTGCGCATATATGTTCTATATCGATTTACCCAAGCTCATGATATTACTTGGATGATGGGACCGCTGTTCATCTGGTCCAGTATTGAGCCATCCGTAGCTATTGTTTGCGCCTGTCTCCCCCAGCTCGGACCACTGGCGCGTCTCACCCGCATTCGGATATTGTCCAGTCAAGGAAGCAAAGGCAATCAATTCCCCTCCTCAGGGTCTCCACAGAAGCCTTCACGCCATCCTGGAGACCGGGCCCACTTACAGGCTAGCATACGACTCAGCCAGTCAAGACGCGTAAGGACGTTAACCTCTACTTGCGAGGTGCCTGAAGACGAGGTTGGGCTGGCCAATCTTGGAATGGATGACACGACGGCACAGCATACGCCATCTCTGCGCTCAACATCAGGATATCCCATTCCAGATCACTCCATTGTCGTCCGATCTAGCTTGGAGCAATCCGTCTCCTATCGCTAGACCAGGGGGTGTGGCAGAGTATGCACGGCACGGACAGTGGAAATGAATGTCGTAGTCACAACAGATTGGGGTGTATACAAGTACGCCAGCTATGCTTAGACAGCATAACAAGGACTAGTGACTAACACGGTGGGGCAATGATAAGAAAGGGTATAGAGACAAGACTTGCTCTCCTCCCGTCTGTTGTGTGTACCTGAAACACTACCGAAACCGGGCCAAGGGTCTCTGAGCCTCACCCAAAGTCCGATCTACATGTGTGTCTCTACTGAGTGAGTGACGAAATCAGCATGGTGAAAGTCTAGTTCCGGCGTTCTATAGGTGAGGTATTTTTTCCTTCCTGGAACTAGGATTATTGTGGCTCAAGCACGTTTTGGTTTCCCGCTCTGTTTGTCAGGCGCTGCAACTCTCAGCATTCAATTTGCTTAAATTATTCGTATAAACGAGTGTCTGTTGAATATAAGATTAGTGATAGTTAACGATGGTAATATAATTTCAACGAATAACAGATGTGCCACCACGCAATGACCATGAACAACATGATGCCCGGAGCACCACCCCCTACAATCCGAGCCACACCACCATGGGTTGCTTATTTACCTCAAGTCGAGTCCTCCGATGCCTTCACCACCACAGGAAAGCTTTCGCTCGCAAGTTGGGCAGAGTCCTCCACCCACACCAGCTTGTAGACATCTTCAGTGTCCGTCTTTGCCGCCCAGAATTGTGCTTCCAGCTGAGTATTATTGTTGTAGACCAGCTGCGATGCAAAGAGGCCAAAGCCCGTGACAACACCATTCACCCCTTTAGCCTGGGCAAAAGGTAGCACGCCGAGACAGTTGTCGCTTTCCGGTCGGATGTACAGGGAACCCGCGCGAGTCCCGTTCATGAACGTGCCGTTCACGATCCAGCAGTCGTCCGTGATGGAGGGCAGGTCCCAATACATGGGCGTCAGGTCTGCTGCAGTGTTCTCCGGATTTTGGGCGATGTACAGGAGGCCTAGATTGTCGGTCAGCAGCGGCTAGATGGTACATGACTCCGGAAGCCATACCATCACTGAGCCCGTAAGCGATGGGATAAGCGGAAGAGTTCTGTCCGTAGGCCAACAAGGTGGCATTGGTCTCCGATCCCCGCTTGACATGGGTGCCCCAAGCAGCGCCAAGGCCAGCGTGCAAGGTGATCAGAGGGCAAAGAAAGCTCGTCCACTGCATCATGGGCTGGTGGTAGACTCGGTGTTGAGAAGGAAGGTAAGTAAAACTATGAAGAAACGAAGATGAATGTAACGAATGTGCTTTGCGTTCTTCGGCCAAGAAACAAAAACGTCGTTATCATACAATCCTATAAGGGAAACCTTCCCAATTATAGGCTCTGTCCTTGTAGTGGACCCCTAGCCCTTGAATGCCAAGCCTGATAATTCCTAGCATCCTCTGGGTTCTGGTACTCAGACGGAATTCCCGAGTGTGAGTCCGCGGGAAACCGGCAAAAATCTTCGACTGTATACGTGGTCCTCAGGCCATGCTAACACGAGCGAAACCTTGTTCGATGCGTGGGTGACGCGCATGCCTGGCCCCAGAATAGGGCTGAATGGGAATGCCATTGTGTTGGCAGACACGGCAGAGCCGGTGGAAGACGGTAGAACTGCCAGTGCGATGGGGACGGAAAGCTTGGTGCCAAGAGCAGAAAAAAATAGATCTTTTGGGTGGATCCAAACAAAACGCCAGTGGAGACGGTTGTGTGATGACGTTGCGGAACCACGCGAGCCTGTGGCTGATACCAGCGATTTTGTGGATAGTTCACTGTAGGCTGCGATCTTGACCCATCTGGTCTGTTCATCCTTGCCCCATGGGGCACTAGTCTCTGCACACTAGCTGGAGATTGTCCCGGCACCTACCCAGCAGAGCTTGGTCGACTCTCGATCGTCACGGTACAGGGCTCTCAGGGCTCTCAGTGTATTCGAAACTTGAACGTCTTACTCAACCCTGTGCCACCATGATAGCCCCCATTTTTGTGGGAGCTGAGAGATCCTCGGGTGCTTCCCGTTGCTAAATTTCCCGGGGCTTCTTACGTACTGCAGGATTAAATGCCACGAGCGCACCCGCTGGCCCTTCAGATGCTGCTATGTACCATTTCTGTCCTACCTTCTCGCTCGGCTTGGTAGGCATAAATCCAGCATCGTCAATGTGGCCGCTTATTTATATTACCGTTATGCTCTGTCCGATTCCACATTTTCCATGGCTCTATCCAATCGTAACTCGATAATTTGATGCTGAAAGGAAGATTTAGAATTTCTCGATTGTTGGTCAACGAGCAACGCAAGCAGGGCTTCTGGCATGCGTGTCGCTGGTGGGCCCTCCTTAATGACACCCTCGATCGCACCAATACTCAAGCGTAGGAGCTTGATGACCAAAGATAGACTCTCACTATCCCCATGGTGTCTTTAGCTTGCATTGATCGTCGGTGGGGGCGCGGATAGGTGGCCCTGGTACCAAAGACCATTGCCGGTACTCTACCACAGAGACAGATCATGGCCGAGCAGAGGTACCTGGAGGTTGTCCGGCAATGCTCAACCATTTCAGAGAAGCATATAAAACTAGACCAATTGGAAGCAGATATGCCACTGCTGCTGAGTATCATTCAGTCCTCATTATTGTGCTTTTGTCATTCTTTGATGCTTTAATCCTCTTCCTATACGTTCGCTGTGCCTTTTCATTCATTCAATCCATCCCTTCTTTACTGATTCATTGAGTCGCTCGCTTCTATCTCTTTCACGCGCTACGTTCGCGTTAATGTTAGTATAATGCGGTTTCCTCCCTCTTTTCTTCTGTCGGCCCTTGCTATACCACAGGTCCTCGGGGCTTCCATTCCGTCCACCTCAAATCCTAAAGGATGCGTCAACAGTCCGACCAACCGGGCCTGCTGGCGAGACGGGTATAACATCTCGACCAACTACTATGAGGAGGTCCCTGATACCGGGGTCACACGCGAGTACTGGTTCAATGTTGAAAATACCACCGCCGCTCCAGATGGCGTTGAGCTTCCTGTTCAATTGATCAATGGCTCCTTCCCCGGCCCCACTATCATCGCAGACTGGGGAGATACAGTCAGTATGTAGTATTTGCTCGTCCTGTTACTTCGTATTTAGTGACTGACTCTTGGGCTGTCTAGTCGTCCATGTCACCAACTCTCTGCAGTCTAATGGAACGGGTCTGCACTTCCACGGGATTCGACAGAACTGGACGGACCATATGGACGGTGTCCCGAGTATCACGCAGTGCCCCATCGCTCCGGGACAATCATACACCTACAAATGGCGTGCTGTGGAATATGGAACGGGCTGGTATCACTCCCACTTCTACGTTCAGGCGTGGGATGGTGTTTTTGGTGGAATTCTGATCAATGGCCCTGCCACAGCCAACTACGATGTGGATCTAGGCCATATCTTCTTGAACGATTGGTATCATGTACGCTTTGCCCCCTCCTCCTTCCAACTTCAGCATAAGGCAGACCCAGGGCAGGCCTAATTCTGTCAGAAAACTGCCGACGAACTGGTCCTCCAATCCGCTACGAGTGGACCGCCCACTCCTCCCAACGGCCTTATCAATGGGACAAATACTTATGGCAACAACGGTTCGCGTTTCGAGACAACCTTTGATGCGGGTACCAGATACCGCATTCGCCTCGTCAACGCCGCAGCTGACAACCATTTCCGCTTCATGATTGATAACCACACCATGGAAGTGATCGCGGCGGATTTTGTCCCCATTCATCCCTACAACACCACACAACTAAGTATTGGCATGGGCCAGCGGTATGATATCATTGTAACGGCTAAGCAACTGAACAGCGGGAACTTTTGGCTGCGCGCAATCCCCCAGGAGGCCTGCTCCGAGACGGATGCCTTGAACAATATCAAGGGCATCATTCGTTATGACAACTCCTCCACGGCAGACCCAACGACCTCAGCCTGGACTTATACTGATTCCTGTGCCGATGAGTCCTCCTCTGACCTCATCCCCTACATAGCCATCAATGCCTCGGACAATTTTGCCTACAGTACAAGTGAAGAGGTTGCAATTGAGGTCGCCTCGAACGCCTTGCTGTGGACCATGAACAAGACCTCCTTCCACACTGAATGGGATTATCCTATTCTGATGCATGTGGCCAACCGCAACTACACCTGGGCAGCCAAGGAGCGCATCATCCATCTCCCCTACCAGGACCAGTGGGTATACCTGGTCGTCCACTCTCCCTTCGCCCAGGACCATCCCATGCACCTGCACGGGCATGACTTCTGGGTTCTGGCTTCGGGTTACGGCGATTTCGACGCAACAAAGACCGACGCCCTGACTTTGGTCAATGCCCCCCGGCGTGATGTGGCGATGATGCCCGCCAGTGGCTACTTGGTCATTGCGATCAAGACCAACAATCCGGGTGTAAGTGCTCACATTTCTTTCCTTGAGACTGTCTGTTGGCTAATTGAGATACGCAGGCTTGGCTCATGCACTGCCATATCGCCTGGCACACTTCTGAGGGCTTCGCGGTTCAGCTACTGGAGCGAGCCCCAGAGATAATCTACGACTACGAGAAACTGAATGACACCTGCGCCAGCTGGAAGAGCTACGTCGCGGCTCAAGATGTCGTGCAGCATGATTCTGGTGTTTAAAGGGTTGTGGTTGAAAGTGGCCATTTTTGAACGACTGCCAGGAAGTGAACATTCGTTATCATAATCCAACTAATCTTCCAGCTAGTTCATGAGCTTCCGTGACTTAGTAGGGGGTGTTGTGTCAGGACTGCCATTTTAATTAATTGGTCTATTGATTGACTTCGTATCATTGCTTCCCTCATCGTAGATCTGACGGAGGGTCAGGTGTCCTTACCACATACCCAAATTACGGTCATAATGAACAATACCTGCCGTTACTTGCTATTTACATTACTAAGACAAACTTCCACCGATACGCTGACAGATATTGTGCGTAATGTAACGTAAGTAATACATACCATATATCAAGTTCCCGCATGGACTGATAATGTCATAAAAATATATATATTAGAGAATCGCCCATGTTCACTGCACCTCTGGGCCGCTCCAATGTCACCAACTCAATTGCACTTGATATGTGTCTTGGGAACGACGGTATAGAAGGAACATCCTAATTCATCAGCGATCATGGTTCAAATTCCTCTAAGGCCCCTGGAGTACTCCAGAACGAGTCCCCGCTTCTCAGTTGATTCGATTGCTCTGCTCTCCGTTTCGGACCTCGAGGAGGAAGACTTGATCACATACAGAAGAGCAACCGGCAGACGCCTTCCATTCTTTAGGCAACTATCATTAGGGGCCATTCTTTTCTACCTCAGGCGTTCTCTTTACTGTGGAAATCGTCGCATCATTCCCCGTCGGTTTGGTGGCCTTGTCCGGCTGGTGATAGGCTTCTTGATCTTGTTGGTCGCTTTGACGGGCATACTGTGGCCCTCGTATACGTATCTACCACCGCACTACCAGCTCCTCCACCAACAGGCCTCTCGAAGCGGCATTACAGGGCGAGGGAACCCGCATAATGAGACAATTTTCATTGCAGCCATCCTCTACGACCCGGATGGTAAGCTAGCCAATGGGAGATGGGGACATGATTTGTTGCACCTAATCAATCTGCTAGGTGAAGAAAACGTCTTCCTCAGCCTCTACGAAAATGGCAGTGGCATTAGAGGTCAGAGTGCCCTTCGAGATCTGGAGGACCGACTGCCGTGCAACAGTTCCATACAAATTGAACTGGACCTGGACTTGACTGCATTCCCGACAGTAACAATCCCCGGGGGAGGGAAACGGGTGAAGCGAACTGACTACCTCGCAGAGATGCGGAATCGTGCCCTTCGGCCACTTGATGAGCATCCAGATATTATGTATGACAAGGTACTATATCTGAACGACGTAATATACGATCCAATTGATGTGCTTCATCTCCTGTTCTCTACTAATATTGATGAGAATGGGGTAGCCCAATACCGGGCCGCATGCGCAGTCGATTTTATCAATGCGTTCAAGTTCTATGATACATATGCCACAAGAGACCTGGAAGGGTATGAAATCGGCCTTCAGTTCTTCCCCTGGTTTACCTCAGCGGGGTCGGGCTTGAGTCGTATAGATGTGCTGGAAGGCAAAGATGCTGTTCGGGTGCGCAGCTGCTGGGGTGGAATGGTGGCCTTCGATGCAAAGTACTTTCAACGACCCGACAACCCGGTTCGCTTTCGCGCCGATCCCGATTTGTTCTATGATGGATCAGAATGCTGTATTATTCACGCCGATATCCAAGATCCACCATTGGACCGTACAAAGGCCGCAGACACGGGCATTTACATGAACCCGTTCGTGCGGGTAGCATACGACGAGCGCAGCCACTCCTGGCTGTGGGTCACACGGCGGTTTGAGAAATTATACCCACTTGTCCACAATATTGTCAGCCACCTGGCTGGCTTGCCCCGACACAATCCTCGTCGGAGCGAAATTCCCGGCCAGCTGGTCAGGGATACGGTCTGGGTGCCCGATGCGACCGATGCACGCGGGGGCGCATTCCGTGAAGTGGACCGTGTCGCGGGGACTGACGGATTTTGCGCAGATGGATTTGGGGGATATCGGGGGCTTTCAGTGATTGTGGAGAACCGGCAGCCTGGCCAGGATGGCTGGGAGGATATCCCGCCGCCATTAATCTAGTTGTTTGCTCATGAAGGGCCCCTGGGCATACTATAGACTTGCAGAGACAAGGACACCCTGAGAGTACTGCCTTTCTCCAAATCAGACCGCTACTTGTCATAGAAACTGCTTCGTCAGCGTGTGCCCCTCAGAGTAACAGACCCTGAGGCACTTTGGACCACGTTCGACACCTGCCAAACACCGTTCGACAGAACTTGCCATACTCAACTCGCAAGTTGAACTCTCTCCAAGATCCTTGCGCGTGATGGTACAAGCGCGCAGAGCGGTCCGAGATGGGCTTGGATCCCATGTTTCCATACTTCCCCCGACCAGGACTGTTTGTAATTAGCGCACGACAAGAGTACATGTGAAGTAGACGAGCTATACCTGAATCCAGTGATAGGCAAAATCAAGACATCCTCCACTAATTTACTTTTCCCTCCATCCTGCAAGCCTGACAACGCGTTCCATCGGAGGCCGACCATAGTTTCGAGCCAGTTCTGCACTGCATGAGTAAATGCGACAGGTCCAGTGAGGGCAACGGGGTCCAGCGCGTTCAGATCGCTCGAATGTGGCTGGAGCGCAGATTCCATGAAAAGACCGTCGAGAAAGATCTGCAAGATTGGATGACCTGGCGTCCATGCAAAGGCCCACTGCGTCAGCTGCACGGACAGCAGGTATCCCATGCGCCAGTAGGTATCACTGTTCGGCGGACAGTCTGCTTCTAACCCAACAATTGCATGGACAGAACCTGTAGAATTATACACACGCCCAGTCTCATGATCCTCCCAAGGCAAAATATCAGTTTCGGCGATCCAATATGCCGGCGATTGTAGAGGCTCAGTGTCGATATCTGCGTACTACGCGTTTGTCAGTTACCTACATGTAATGATAAGTAGACAGGAGCATTCTACTTACAACCCCTCCGATCCACTTGGACACGAGAATCCGGAAGACATCCGACCGTTCCACGGGGCTGGGTAAAGCATAGAACTGTTTCTCCCGTTCTGGCTCGAACCGCCGAATGAACTGCCGTATTCCGTCATCGTCCCACAAGAAATAAGCCATCTGCTCGTCCACCGTGCGCAACCATTTCTCCGTGCTCTGCTGTAATACATGTGGCCAGGTGTCAACGCGCGTGCTCTTCCAGGTTTGGTGGACGATCAGGGGAATTGAGGAGTGCGGGATCTGCCGTTGAGTCGCTTGGGTCAAGCGTAACACTCGCTCCGCGGCGTCGACAATGTTCTCAGGATGCTGTCTCGTCTCATCTGTCCAGGTCGGTGGGATGTACCACGCTGGAGACGACCTGTCTTAGCCGACAAGTTCAAAGCCTTACTCAGAAGTCATATGTTGCTTACCTCCACCACTGCGAGTGTTCGTATGAACGCGTTCAAACAGCAATGGGTAACGGTGTTGAAGAAGAGAAATCTGTTTAACCGAGGTATCAGGCTGTTGAAGTAACCAGGTGAAAAACACTAGGAAGCAAAGTGCGCCCAGCACTGGACGTCGCAACATGTAGCGCCAGACCATTGTCGTGATGAGTATAATACTTCAGGGAAGATGGGTGGGGAGTCGATTTATTCGGCGGCAGCAAAGGTTAGCAAAGGCCATGATAATCTTTCATTGGGGGGTGGCTAGGCAGCCATGGATATGCCTCGTTCTTCGACTTTTTCTGCGTCGTGGTTAGTCTTGACTGCAACGCCAGGCCGGTGTATAACTTCCCGCAGGTCCCGTCACTTGTAATGCGGCTGCCTAGCAATGGCCCCTAAACTTCACCAACCCTAAGCTCAGAACCTTGCCCTGCTGGACCCTGGCTACAGTGACTACTAATCCAAGGAAGTACTAGTAGGTGTCATAATACGAGACCAGTCACACGTCCTGGCCAATGGGGGGCTGGGATGGCTCGCATGGCTTACAGAATTCGAGCCATCATCAGGGCCTGCGCCCTACGCAGCCCTAGCCGCGGTGGGGTCGAAGCTTAGTATTGCTTGGATTCGTGGACCCTTTTTTAGGCCAGATGGCAGTGCATCTCTGGTGGGGGCTGATTCACTTGTTGTGATTACAAAGAAAGAGCTTTCTGCCCTGTTTGCACTGTGGTCTCTCTGTGATGAGCATAGGTATGATTGGCTGCGTACCCCTGGCCAATTTGCTTGCACAGCATTACCTAAAAAGGGAAACACTACAATCCTCCACCGACCAGACGCGGGACTGTCCGTAGTACCAGTCACGACTTGCCAATTGCTGATCATGTCTCCACCCTTGCTCTCTGGTCGTGTCAGCACAGTCCAAACCCAGGGGAACATCCCACCGGCCTCGGAAAGAAGCTCGGAAAGTCGAGTTGTCCAGGCAGAAACGGGACCGGAGGATTACTGGTGAAACCCATCTGCGATACACACAAATACCACTGGCGTGTCCCGTATCACAACTGTATTACCAGTCGGAGCTTGCCTTTTTGGCGGCTCAAAACCTGTCCATCACTGCCTCCTTCACTATTTAATTACATCCCTCAAATAGCCTCTCCATATCCATTATGTACCTTTTCCTTCCTTGCCATGCCTTGTCTCAGCCCCAAAGCCTTCCAGGCACTGTCAGCCAGCTGCAATGGCTCCCGCGCGCCTCCGACTCGTGCTGGCAGCCCTCCTACTATTCATTCTAACCTCCCTGCTCGCCCCGTTTGTTTGCAATCTTTACCTACTGCTTCGATTACCCTTTGTGTGGAAAGCCTCATCCGCCGATGCTATCATCAATCAACAGAATGATGGATTCGATTTGACATTTTCCGACTACAACAGCACATACTCCGTCGCCGACACCGGGTTGCCTGTTCCAGTCCCCGCAAGGCTGCACCACGTCCAATTGGGCACACAGACCCCACGAGCAGAATGGCAGGCTGCCCGAGACGAGTGTCTCAAGCAACATCCGGACTGGGAAACGTTTCTGTGGACGGACGAAAACGCTAGCCGCTTCGTGCAGAATCACTATCCGCACTTTCTCCTCACCTGGGAAAGTTACCCGTACCTTGTCCAGCGCGTGGATGCATTGCGATACATGATCCTGCACAGGTATGGGGGTGCCGTGTTGGATTATGATCTGGCATGTAAACGGTCGTTGGAACCTCTGCGTCGATTCGAGTTCGTCGCGCCGGCGGCCAACCCCGTTGGTATCTCCATTGGCATGATGCTCGCGGCACCGAACAATACCTACGTTGGTGATCTGGTGCGGAACCTGCCAACCTTCAATCGAAGATGGTCTTTATTGCCTTATATCACAGTTATGTTCAGCACGGGATGTCACTATGCCTCGTATGTCGCTCCCTGACGCTCAAAGAGAACAGATATTAGAGCTAACAAGTTATAGAACCATCTACACCATGCAGCACGATACCTCTACCCTCCGCGTCCTAACTGGCCCCCCCGAGAACCCACGAATGCACATGCTCAACGGTGTGGTCAATACTCCGATCTTTCGGCATTTGGGCAGTTCCTCCTGGCACGAGAAAGACGCAAGGTTCATCAAGGCGTTTGCGAATATGGATCAACGGGTGGCGTTTGGAATGGTCCTGGTCGCCTTAGCAGGAGGATGCTGGGCTGTGAGCTTATGTGTGTCTCGGGGCCGGGCATGGCACAAGAAAGACGCAGTGTCACAGGAGATAGAGTTGTTGCAGAAAGCACATGATTCTTGAAGACTTGTAATTTCTAGCTAGATTTTTGCTCACGGTTTTACGTTTGGATACCATATTGGAGACAAATAGTTTTGCTTAATATTAGAATCTTTGACAGAACATAATCACAGCTTAGGCTATCCGATACAAATTATTAAACCACATATAACGGCTCACTATCAGGTACAACACCCGGTCCCATGAGTACTGACTATCATGTTGACTGAATGCTGTTCGCGCAGTTAGGTAGGTCCGCCACGGACTTACCAGCAGCGCTCTGTTTCCGTATATGTCGTGTCCTGTGGGTGGCGGTGCGGCTGTAAGGACCGCTGCCCCGATGCGCCAGGCGAACGGCACAGAGGTCAAGATCAGATCAACGAGCGACGAGTACTTGCGCAGGAGGAATGTACTCTGTAGGGCATAGACTGGCGGGGCATGCGGAAAGTCCTCTGCGTACTTTCTGCTCCCTGTTAGCCTCACTGCTTCGAATAGTATGGGTGCCATTCACTTACCGAACACCGGCACTTACGGCCCTGTGGTTGATATGGCCCGAGACTCCACCGTTATCGAAGGTGAAGATCTTCTGTAGCCTTAATACCTGGCCACTAGTTTTGAAGGGTGTAAGGGAAACGTACCAGATCCACTTTCCACATATGAACGTAATGGGCGACTATGTCCTGAATGACATCCTGGCGCCACCACTTCTTTGGATTATCCTGCAAGGCACCGTGCTCCAGAACAACGCAGCGAGCAGATGGGATGCCGAGTGCGGTACAACTACGTTCAATTTCTGCCTTGCGGATATCTCCTTGGCCATGATAGTCGCCTGCGCCTCATTAGAAGATATACTACTCGGAAGATTTCTGGTGGAGTGATGACTCACCCGTCGATAGCACCAACAAGGAACGAGTGACATCCGGGTTCTCGCGACCGTGAAGGATAGTTGGGCTAAAGAACAAAGTCTCGTCATCGGGATGTGCCGTGACGAGAAGGACGTTCCGCGCTTGCTGGATGGTGTGTGGAACAAGACGCGGATCTCCCGCGAGGTAGTATGCGAGAAGAAGATACAGGAAGATGGAGGCCGACAGCAGGATCAGAGCCGAGTATGCTATCAGACATCTCCAGTCATGTCGCCGCACTCGGCGAAGTAGGCGCCTGAACAGGCGGGCTGGGGTTGCCATCGATGGGCTCGTTGTTGTTTGTACGGAAGTAGTGCCAAGGTGATATCCTGGCGGGGTGTAATCGGGTCCTCCACACGGCTATGCAGTGTGTGGCATCGCCCTGCACCGAAGTTTTCTGCCAGCAAAATAGAGAGGAAGAAAACCTTCGGTCTCTGGAAGGCCTGAGGAGTGTCGGGATC